GACGCGACCGTCTGATCCGTGGCGGCAACAACAACAACAACAAGAACAAGAAGAACAACAACAACAACAACAACATCAACAACAACAACATCAACAACAACAACATCAACAACAGCAACAGCAACAGCAACAGCAACAGCAACAGCAACAGCAACAGCAACAGCAACAGCAACAGCAACAGCAACAGCAACAGCAACAGCAACAGCAACAACTGCAGCTGAATGGCAGCAGCAGCAGTAGTGTCAGCGTCGGTAGCAGCGACAGCAACTGCAAAAAGCATCACGAACCCAGTGTCGATGACGCCTTCCGGCCCCCTGACAGAGGCTTTGTGTTCACCTTCGGCGTCGTTCTCTGTTTGGGAGTGGTCTGGGGTGTGGTCACCCTCATCCCCTCCCTTCAGCTGCAGCTTGTGGCCTTCATCGCGTTTACCAACTATCGAGCCCTGTTGCCACCTGGTCGCCCTTGGTAGCAACTTTTCCCGGGTTATCGGGTCGCAGGATTTAGTGTTAGCGAACGAGAACTGTTCTGATGGTACGAGTACGACCAGAATGGCGAGCCTTGCAAACGCCTGCCTTGAAGCGTGGTGGTGCCGATCTCCCAATATCGTCTGTGTCACTTGGAGTGTCACTGTATATTTCTGTAGTCACCGCAATGGCAGCCACACCGATCGCTGATCGTGATGATGCTTTCGCTCAGGGTCCATACTTGCCTAATACTGAATTGCTTGTTGAATTGCTGATAGTCGTGAATGACTGTACGGCATTCGAACCCTGGGGTTATGGTGAACCCTAGCATCAGGCAGGTACTTGCATGGGAGCTGGCAGTTTTTTTTGCTGTATGCAAGTATCAGTGCTACATACAAAGGACTTACATACCAGCTGCAGATTAAACTAGCTAGCAGCTACAGCCGCCAATCGATCTGCGTGTAACGCCAGACACAACTGTCGAAAAGTCCCTGGCTTGAAAGCATTTCTGCAGCTGGAAGGTTGGAGTCTTCCGTGAGTAAACCCTACGAAATTTAACACGGAGTCCAACCTAAACCATCCTTGCAAGCTAATCAGGTTTGGCGTTTTCTTCACTTTCCTTGGCCACAGCTTCGGGAATCGAACCTTCGGGCGTATCAGCTGCCTGTGCTATGTGCTGTCGGCGAGCCTCTCCTGGACAATCTGGCCATGCAGCAACGTGGGGTGGAGTAAATATACTTTGGCTTTAGGGGTAAAGGGTTGAGGGATATGGGTTTTGCCTAAGAACTTGTTTTGAATCGCGGGGCTGTTGCTCCTACTCCTATTTGAAATTGGCAGCTCATGGCACAATATGTTTGAAATTGGAGGTGTGGCGTTTACGCGGCCGGATACCTTGCGGTCGATGGTCTAGGGTTTTCAGGGTGAAATTGGGTTTAGGGTTTATGGTAAGGTTGCCGTTCTTGCAGTGCATACCGGGCAGAACAGTGCTCTGCGTATCAGCTAATTGCTGGGTGCTTCTGTCAGAAACCCGACGGTTGTAGTGTTCAAAGGATGAACAAGACGACAGTCGGCAATTGCGACACACTACATGACCCATAATTACCCTCAAGCTCCTGAACCTTGAGCTCTACACCCTAGGCCCACATCCTAAATGCGAAACCCCAAACCCTATGATGAGCTGTGAGATGGGAGCGTTTTGTGCATTCTGCCAACATGGCAGTACTAGTTACTAGGGGCAGAGGAAAAGTCCGTCACGCTTAAAAAACAACCCTCCAGCCTGTCACGTGCCAGGCTTCCAAAGAGCTTACCGGTGACCTGACAGCCATGAACCTCGGTGGCAGTCCAGGATAAAGTTGAATGTCTTTAAACTTGGTTATCGGAACATTCATCAAGTATCGTATAATTCTACTCCCTCATATTCATGAACAAACGTCGGGGGTCGTGAATCCAGATGTCAACCCAGGAATTGGTTCTTGCTGATCCTCGGGGTGCTGCCAGTCTGGATGGTTGTCGTCCTAGCAAGACATCTCCGGCGATTCCCAGCAGGTGAGCTGTGTACCTGCCAGAAGCCCACGAACAGCAAGATCACTCCGGGCGCAGTGGACGAGGGAATTCCTGTTGACTTCGACTCGGTGCTGCCGGGCTCTTGCTAAGGAAGTTAGCTAATTAATTCTTCGTATTAAGGTACTATAATGAGGACTTTCTCTTGTTGTTTGTATCCCCATAATGGTAGCTGAAATGTAGCTGAAGCTAAGCAACTAAGACCTGAGCGCCCAAAAAGCCGATTTTCATAGATCTTCTCGAAGCCCTCAATCCAGCTTCCCATTTTGGTACCTCAAGCTACATAGAAGTTCAAGAACTCAGGCTGGTGGATTTTACCCCAAAATCTTCGCCGAAAGGCGCCAATGGCTGGAGAAACTGCCTCGGGGCATTTTTCTGCTGAGGCTCCTTCCAAGGGGAGGCCTACAGCCCTAGCGCAAAGTAGATATGGCCGACAATTGCGGGAGCTCGAGAAATCCATTGCTGTGACACTATTACTGCTGTTATTGTAGGAATATGCCATTCTCCTAAATATTCTGCTTGTCATTCCTTTGCAGTGTCCTGCACCTTGAACCCTACACCCTTATCCCCACGATTCCGGCTACTTCTTTTCCGCCACGGGCCTGCGTCTTTGTCCAGGCCGGTGGCTGCGAAGTAGAAACTCGGAGCCTGAAGGCGGTTTCTCAACGTTAGGGGTGCCAGTTGGGTGCCTTCATTTATTCCTTATGATCGGTAAGGTTCCATGCACAAGAAAGCAGCCGCACTTGGGCTTCCGGGTGCAGCCTTGGAGACGGAGCACTTCCCAAGGGGGGAGTGCAACTGCACTCGCCACTGCGTGGCATGCACTTAGTGGGTGATTTTCCGACCCTCAGCGTTTCGCTACCTGGGGTTAAAAGCGGTCCATTTCGTCAACCGGCCGCCCCCAAACCCTGAATCCTTAAGCCCTCATAGACCCTAAACCCTGACTCCTTAACCGCCACAATCTAAAACCCTGAACCCTAAGCCGCCCTTCCGTCCCGTGTGCGGTTTGGGCGACACTTGCATGCTGGCCGTGAATTCAAAGGTATCGAAGGTGGAGCTATGTACCCTGAACTTAGCTACATTATTAATTATCATATTACAGTTTCGGGTTTAGGGTTAGGGATAAGGGTATCGTAGAGCCCCAAACGCTTCTCAAATTGCAAAGATTACGGTTTAGGGGTTAGAGATTGGAACCCGCAGGAGGTCGGCACGGAGCCGATGGTTCGTTCGGGATTCGCCTAAACCCTGGCTTTTTAGTGTCTTTGCTTGGTGGAGCTAGTTTTTTTTTTTGCGTTGGGTTTAGGGTCCTGAAACAAGAAGGGCCAGGTAAGCAAAGATAGGAACGGCGTTTGGTTGGAACGTTCAGATCGTGCTTGGATCTCGAATGCCAGGTCCCTAAACCCCTTAATTAAGCCCCCATGAGAATGGGGCATCTTCAGGGCTACTTGTAGAGGGCTATGCCGTGAAACCTTGTGGTTTCACGTTGTAGCCTCGGGAACTTATGGATTGCGGGTTGAGATTCTGGGCCTTAATACTCAGTCAGAGTAGGGTTCTGGGTTCCTTTATAGTATACGTATGCTCAGGAACCCTGAAGAAGAATGAACAATGATTACTGGTTATTACTGAGACTTCTATACCAAGGTTGTTAAAGGCAGATTGTGAACAGCTTTGATTTTGAGGAGCGGTAGCCGAATGGATCAGGGCTTAGGCTTAGAGTCGCGCAGCTCATGCTGTTCCGAATTTCCGCAGGCAGCCTGAACTGAAACCTTGCAGAACCCCACGATCCTGAATCCCAGGCACGAAAAAATCCCAAACCCTTCAGGCAAGAATCCTCCGAATCACCACATTCGCAACCCTCCCCCCGTTTTCAACACGCTCGTTTATCAGCATATCGGCTCTGGGCTCGGACTTGGCTGCCTTGCACTCTACGCCATGTCTCTCCGCTGTCTGCTGACACTTGGCTGGGTAGGCAACCGTTTCGCTTGTTGGGGTATTATAGGGGCCTTAATACATACCTTTTCCATGTAGGGGGTTCCTTATTATACCTATAGTATACTATACCCCAATGCCCTGTTCTAACAGTCCTACCGCAGTTTACGTGAAGGTTGGGGTTGTTGCGGCTAGGGTACTCAGCCCCTAAGTTCCGGAATCTGATTTTGCATCTTTCTCCACAAGACCCAGGGTCTTAGAAGGGGTTCTACAAGGCTCTGCGCGGATGCTGGAAGGGTTGTATCAGGGTTCTAGGCGAATGTTAAGTAGTAGGGTATCAGAAAGGTTGCTATAGGGCATAAGGCTGCGTAAGGGTTGCTATGTGTGTTGTCAGAAAAGTGCCCAGGACTCTCCTGGTGCTGCAGTGCACCGAGGGGAGCTCGAGACTTCGAGGACAGCCGTTGGCTGGCACTAAGAAGCTTCTTTCTCTCACTGAGTTGCCTTGCCTTCTGGGGCTTAGGGCGTCATGTGAGTCATGTTTTCGGGGGTATGTTTACGGCCTCCTTTACATAGAAACAGTGGGTTTTTGGGCAGGAAGTCGTGCGAGAAATCAGGTCCGATGAAGGGGCGTCCAATAGCTCCACACGCCTGCTTGGCGGAGGCTCAACTTCCTCGGATTCCGGGATCCTCAGTAGTCCTTGTTTAGTTTTTTTTGATGTTGGGGTCAGGGCCTAAGATGTAGGGAGATTTTGACCTGCTTGTTTGTAAACTTGAGCAGTAGGACAAGCACCCGACCTCCCTTTTCAGGGGCTGCCAAGGGGTCTCAATAACTAGAGTTAGCACGCCTTTTCATTCTCCATACAACTATCTATACAGCTATCGCACCGAGCCACCCGCGATAGAAGTTAACGGAATTCGGACCCCGATATTCTTGGGGAGCCTAGGATTGGCTACACTGGACATGCTGCAACGGCTGCCGAACCAGCTTTTGCTCACCCGGAAGCGGTCGCTGCCATGACGAGAAGCTCAGATCGCAACATGCAGCTTGTGAGCTTTCGGGTGTCGTAGATTTTGCAATAATTGGTGTGAAAGTTCACTTAGACCGGTTCTTTCTTTGTACTCTGCGGGAAGTAAGGAAGACGAAGCCTTACTACTTCGATTGCGACTGTTGCAGCTCCTGTGAATCGCAGTTCTGCTCCCCTCGAAGCGGCACCTGCTACACCTCGATGGGGAAGTACTACTACTTGGAGTGCGGAGTTCCACCGCCGACGCCTGTTCAGCCCCAGCCCCAGCCACAGCCTCCTGCGAGTCAAGTTGAGGGCGAGTCACAAGGAAACCCAGGTGGGCAAGGTGGCATGCCTCAGGGTGAACCTTGGCAGGGAAACCCAGGCGGGCAAGCGGGCATTCCCCCTGGGAATGGCCAACAAGGCGTGTACCACTTCTATGCTGGGCAGCACCTGTACTGCGAGCGCGAGGACCACGGAGCGTGGTTCATGTACAAGTGCCATGACGTCGGCGGCAGGACCTGGTTCTGTTCCAGCGACTGGAAGAGCTGCAATCCTGTTTGATCCGTGTGAACACGGACGGGATGGGTCTGCCCATATAGAGTTGGAGTGAGGCATCGACGGCCCTTGAGGTCTTGTCTCATCTTGTTCATCTCCCTTGCTGATGAGCAACTTTTGTCCCCAGCATGCCCGGCCAGAGGTGGCACCAAGAACCACGCAGGGCGGCCTTTGTGTACAGATCTGTGAAGTGAGGCGCACTGCACTTGGACTTCTTTGGCCTTGGCATGCTGTGATCCTGCAACCGGGGAGAAACCCTGGTCGATGGCACCCTGTTAGCCATACAGTCAGCCGAGAGCTGCTCGGGCAAAGTGCAGAGCAGAGAAAGGAGTGCTGACCCTAAGCACTGAGGTTTAGGCAGGCGTGGCGTCGCGTCGCCGTACGGGAGGATGTAAGTAAGATGCGGCCCCCCCCCCATCCCTGGTGTATCCCCCCCCCCCCCCGCCCTCTGCCCTGCGCTTGGGGTAGCGTGGCCTTCTTATTTGGCCATGTCCCCTCCCCGGCCCCCGGGCCTTGTTCCTTGGTTTCTCGGCTTCTTGTGTTCCCTGGCTGCTGAGGTATGGTTGCAGCTATTTGTTAGCGGCGTTGTCATCCTTATTGTGATTGCTACTATGTACGGTGGTCTGCCCCGTTTCATGGTGCCCCTGTCCCTGTGGTATAGCCTTCGCTCTTCCGCGATTCTCCCCGGTCCAGGTGCACTGGCTGTCTCGTCCACTACTGCACTGACACACGTCGCCTCCCTCGACCCCCCGGTCGTTTGGGTGGTGGGTTCTGCTCCGGCATTAGTATTCCTGTCTTCATAAATCACTCTGAACAGATCATCAGACCACTCTTGGGAACTTTGCCCTTTGACCTCACCTGACTGTTGGCATACATCCAGCAGCACAAGGTTTCAGGCTGTGTTGGCACCGCTTGAGGTGACGGCTTAGGGTTTGAAGCTCTTGACCCATTCTGCAACAAGGAAAACGCGGAAACGAGCATCTTCAATAGAGAAATCTTAGGCCTTGAAGTCCATGGCAAAGACCTCACCTTCTGAATCCCGAAGCTTCAGAAGGTATATAGCTTGCTGAACGGTACAGATGTGGCCTCTTCTGATTTTCGGACGTCCGGATCGCAGACCTTAATCTCAAACACCCCTAACTCCCAAATCCTGAACACCCAAGACCCTCAACCCAAAACCTTCAAATGTATCAGTCCGTACCTTCGAAACCCTGCCGGTAGCCCGTCATGATTACTATATTATCCGTGAAACTGTAGGTCTCATGGGGGTTCCTGGTGATCTCTGCACATCTGTGCCTTCAGCCCTGAGCCCATAGTCTGACTAGCTCATCCGAAACCCTGTCTGAATAGCAACAATAATATATCCTTTCAGTGAGACCTCACTGTATCCTGAAGCCGCTTTTCATTGTCAAGGCTAGAAGAATACTCTAAACAGAAGACTATAAACCATCATTGAAGATGCATGAAACCTTTCTACAAGAACCTCCTGTCAAAGCCAATGAACAGCCCTTGTAGGATGTTACGAACCCTGAAAGCCCTGCCTCGTCCGACTCCACAGGCTACAGCATGGTCGCAGCACCGCGATCACAAGCAGCGGAAGTCTGAAAAACGATCGCGCAATCACTGAAAGAAGGGTTTAGGACTTAGGGCTTAGGACTCTCCGCATGAAACAGGATTTTGACGGGTCTTTGTAAGGGCTTCAGGCTCTCGTTCAGGGCTTCGGGGCTTTTGGGGTCCCGAGGGCTTTCGTGCCTGACGGGGCTTACATGATTTTGAAACATCGGGTCGTAGGGTGGTACCGTAGGGGTTTCGAAAGTAGTTGCAGAATGACTTTGCAGTGCCTTGTAGCATCATGCCTCCCTGGAGCAGCAACACCACACCCCGAAACCCG